GAGTTAAAAATCTTCGTTTGTGTTCTACTGAAGAAACAAAGTCACCTACATCTTGGATGCCCTGGGGGTAAGCGGATAAACATAAAATGTTCATTTTTGGGTGAACAATCCCTTTAAGACATTACTTCCTGTTGTCAAACAGAGGTAAAGCAGCTCATGCAGGACCACACAGTGAGGTCAACATGCACATGTGACTCACATCTGCTAAGGAAAATCTTATGCAACCCAATTGAAAGTGAATCAGATTGTCATTTTATGAAAGTATCCTGAGAAAAGGCGTTTCTGCATTTCAAGTTCAGGAAGGAGTGACTGTCAAATTAACTTTAGAGAGCAACTAAACTGAGTCATAGGCTGTTACTAAATGAACCAACATTTTCCAGGATATGTGACAAACTTCATGAACAATATAAAACCAGGTTTAATGTCACTTTTTACTTTCAGACCAAGCACATGTAAGTACTTTCTCGTTTATACACCTCTATGGTATGTAGGCCGATTATAATGTTTACAAAAACATGGAGGGTGCTGTGTAATTCAAGCCAAACTGGAAAAGAATGTCTCCTTTCTTTAGGAGTTCAACACTGCCAGCATGACTCAAGCAAGCCTGCCACACACTGTTACATCATTATGTTCTCTGCTAAGTAATCTTTTATATTTAGTGGAAAATAAATTACACTTTTATTTCCTTACTGGTCCACCCTAGTACTTGAGATTGTTGTGTAACACTGTTACAAACTGCTAGATATTCCATCCCTAATGGGGCAGGAGGGCATTTTACAAAAGTGTGATCTTACTCCCATATTCCTCCATTCTAACATCACCTTGAAATATAGACTAGAAGCCAGTTAAATACAGGCTAAAATTCACAACTGTATTCTACAGCTGTTGAACACTTCCCCCTTCACAAATATTTACCACGGTTACCGTAGTTTCCGTCAAAATAACAGGTACTAGATATTTCACGTACTGTTACAAGTATAAATTAATCAATCGATGTAAAAAGCTGTTGAACAGTACCTTATGCATTACAAGAGCACGTGATGGTAAAATAAAACAGTAACAATCTTACCACGCGCTGTCTGAAATCCAGAAAACTAAACACAATCGATGTTGAAGCTTGGAGAAAGAAATATCTGGTAATATAATCCTTCAAACTGAGCCTTTTTAAATAAAAACTCGTGAGTTGACGCACTGATCCACCTTCTTCAGTGTCAGTTCAACTAGTGTACAGCCAGCAGTCAGCCGATGACGTTGCGTGTAATAATGTGCTCAAGATGCTTAAACCAGCAGGTGGAGTCAGCCTGAAACATATTGCGTGCAACTAAAACATAATTCATAGAACAAATAAGCCACAAGATAGCTTTTATACCAGTACAATTATGCTTTGCTGAAGTTAAAACGACATCTAATACAGTATTGTCTGTCTGCTCTCTTTACGTAACGCTTCACCAAAAAACACATGCAAGATGTCTGTCGAGGTGTGGTGGTGAACTAGACACACCCAGGCTGCATATTTGTATTCTTAGATAGATGAGGGAGACCTACAAAATGTATGGCGAGTGGATCGTGCCACGGATTACCTGCTGAAGGAGACAGTCATTAACTTTTACGTGTGAGAATCAGGTCTGGATTGGTAATCGGGCATTTCCCCGGTGGGCCGACGCACTTAAGGGGCCGACAGAAGGTTTTTTTTTTTTTTTGCAGCAGATTTATCAAGAACAGGCTTGCTCTGCGGTGAGTGATTCTGGCCAAAGAGCCAGGCAGGAGGAGGAGAGGAGCTGAATCGGTAATGTGCTTGATAGGGACTCGCAACAGAGGCAGACATCTAACCTATCCTAATGTGTGTGCGCGCCATGAGTGTAGAATATGTAAACACTTTTTAATAAAATGTAAATTCGTCCCCCTCGCTTTTTTTGGCCAAGTCAAGTGTTCATAGAGGTTTCCATGGGCCAATGCGAATAAAGCTAGATTTAAATTCAAAAAGACACGGTATTGTCGGACCTTACGTTTTATTATCCAAAACAACTAGATGTGATAGGAGTGTGATACATACACTACCAGTCAAAAGTTTTTGAACAGTAATATTTTTTTATGTTTTTTTAAATTAGTCTTTTCTCACCAAACCTGCATTTATTTGATCCAAAATACAGCAAAAGCAGTAATATTGTGATATTATTATTATTATTATTATTATTATTATTATTATTATTATTATTATTATTATTATTATTATTATTATAACATTTATTATTATTATTATTATTATTATTATCAAAATTTAAAACAGTTGAGTAAATTTTTTTCGGGATTCTTTGATGAATAGAAAGATCAAAAGATGAGCATTTATCTGAAATAAAAAGCTTTTGTAACATTATACACTATTTGTATACACTATACAATTCAAAAAGAATTTTTTTTTTTGGGGGGAAATAAATTAATACTTTTATTTAGCAAGGATGCTTTAAATCGATCAAAAGTGATGATAAAGACATTCATAA